AGAATTTCTCTGTATGCTGTAAATCGAAGCGATACCATATCATTTCAGCCAAATGTTGTAAAGTTGAACTCTATCATAGATATTTAATCATATCTTATAAATTATTGCTGTGACATAACATTTTAGCTATATATCATAAATTATACGTATAACCTACTATTTTTATATCCAGTTCATTACAGCTGTAACATATTATTTTAAAATATATTTTCAATATGTCATTTTAGCTATATACTTTAAACTACAGCTATTACATAGCAAATTATCTATCTATAAATATGTTGTAAACAACTCTGTACTTTAGCAATTTAGTTATGTACTGTAAATACCATTTTGCTCTCTCCTATATGATAACCCCTCGAACATTTTCATTTTGTTTCAATCTTCACTTGTACCGTGGGGTTGTGGATATATACAATAAATTACAGTTATGCAACAGCATTTTAGATATATATCCTCCAAAGTGCGACTTAATTAGAAATATCGCTAAAGCATCCAAACATTCGGATGCAAAAAATAGCATATTACCTACGTCTTGCAACAGATAATTTTGCTGTATTTATTAACTAGCGCAAGTACACGGCTTCGCTCGGGTTATTATGTTGATTTATTCTAGATGATGTCAGTGTGTGTGTATTCTGAACCCATCTTATCATAAAAGTATAACCTATATACTTTTGTTCCTCCTTTACGGAATGTGACCAGTTTATAAAAGTAACCTTCCCTCTGAATTGTCCTCCGATTTTAAACTTAAATAACAAAAACAAACCTCTGATTAACGGAGACTCTAAAGTATCTGGTATTTGTAGTTTATGCATTTCATTTTATACTTTCAGCACATAGCCACTTAACAACAACATTAGATTATACTTTTATTGCTAACCAACATGATATAAAAGCCATTGTTGGATCGCATTGTTACAAAAAAAGCACTGGGCTTGTCTATATATTAGAAGTTGTTATATAAGGAACCACTTCTTTTCTATGTGTTTTTTCGCTAGCTTGCCTTATTAAAAAAAATGCACATTTTATATATAGTTAAATTTCTATGCACAACTTTAATTTGCAAAATAATGATAAAAATACTTTGTAAAAGCTGGAGTTTAAAGTATATACCTAAACCATTATGTTACAACTCTAATTTTATTGAAAGTTTATTAAAACGCTATGTTACAGCTCAGATCTACAAGATATAGCTAATAGGTCACTTGCATATGTAATTTACAGCATATAATAAATATTATGTCACAGCTCAAAACCCCTTAGCTGCTCAATGTTAAGATTGAGGACTTAAAACGCTAAACGCTAAGTCAAATGCAGCTCTAATTTATATATTAGCTTAAACCTGAAATCACACTTATCACTTGCAATGTATTTCTAAAATTATATATTAGAGTTGTTATTTACTGAACATAACAAAAATATTATATTAGAGCAGTAACTTTCCATATATATCTAAAATATTATGTTACAAATACAATTACATATTATTGCAGGAATGTTATGGTGCGACTATAATTTACAATATATATCTAAAATATTATGTTACAGATACAATTACATATTATTGCAGGAATGTTATGGTGCGACTATAATTTACAATATATATATATCTAAACTATTATGTTACAAATACAATTACATATTATTGCAGGAATGTTATGGTGTGACTATAATTTACAATATATATATATATCTAAAATATGATGTTACAAATACAATTACATATTATTGCAGGAATGTTATGGTGTGACTATAATTTACAATATATATATATCTAAAATATTATGTTACAAATACAATTACATATTATTGCAGGAATGTTATGGTGCGACCATAATTTATAATATATATATATATGTAAAATACACTGAAAGCTCTGCAATTGACGAGTATGAAAAACAGAATATATCTAAATACTGTGGTACAAATGTGATTTTGAGGATAGAGATAAATTTCATCTTTTCTGAATAGAAAACTGTCTGACCTGTGGATAAACTTGCAAGTTTCAATGAAATCATCTCTCATCCTTTGTAACGAATTTGTTATTATATATTTGTTTTAGTATCAACGTTTGTTTGGATTAAATTTATATTTAGAAACATACATGGCTTATACTGTTAAAAAAAATTTTCGAAACTCCCACCTATTCTCAAAGTTGTAAAAGATTCTCGAGAGTAGGAAACAAAAATATGTGTTACGTAAGACTGAAATTTCTAGAAAACCTCCACACGCCTATAAATATAACCAATGCGATGCGCCAAAAAAAAAGAGTTATTAGTTTGCTATAGTCAATGTGCTATAAATTTTGGAAGCTATAACTGTGATTGTTATAACTCTTATCAATCGGAAAACTTCAGATATTTGACCAGGAACATTTACAAAGTTCGAACATTACAACTCATTTAACTTCAGTGGATTCTCATCGGACGTTAGTATTTTTACGAAAACATTACATAACGTCACGGTAGAAAATCCGGTGTATGGCTGGAAACAATATAGGCAAACCACAAACGTGCAAACACACTTCGTTCTCTCGTGAATGATCACGAAGACAACTTGATTAGAACCTGCATGTACTTGCATATAGCTAGACTTAGCTTTTTCTGGCTTTATTATAACTGAATTCATCAATGGATCAAAATTCAAAGTAAAACACGAAGTAAGAATGGGCGGAACGATGACCACACCCACTTTAAGGTTGCATTGTGTCAAAAACCACCAAGTGTTGTAATGTTATCTCATCCATTTATATCTTGTCTTCTTAATTTTTGGTGCCCCATTCCTACCTACTAATGTTTTTACTTAAAATTGTTTACACTTGTCTCATAGCTTCTTCTGGTACTAAGACTCGAGAGTGACTGGGCCCTAAGCTTATTCTTCTCGTAGCTTTTCTTAGAGCTATCTCTCGACATTTCCTATTTTTGCTGATATCTTTGGTATAGTTTTTTTTGTTTTCATCTAGCCAGGGTGGCAGTTTTTCCTTTGGCGGGATTAATGGCTAAAGCATGTTTCACATATTCAGCATTACTGTTTCTATCCTTATCTCTATTCGGTGGGACAAATATTTTTCAAAGTTATCAACATAAGATTTTCTCATTTTTTCTCGTTTTGTTTCCTTGAAAGGTATATTTTAAACAAATCAATGTTTCAAGTACAACCTTAGATGTCAATAGATCACACTTAGTTTGAAAAGAATGCAAAGGTAAACTATACAACTTATCGTTCTTGTTTAAGTCCATAGCGCTGGAACAAAGTTGTATCAGACTTCGGCAGTAGTAGCATTCGTTCTAATGGATGATACAGCTGCCGGTTGATCAAATAGCGCAAGCGCATAAGCAATCGTGCGGCCGCACGTGATATGAGAATGGGTTGTCACTTGGCAACTCACAGTGCGTGTTCGTAATCATAAATATGGATACTAGAGTATTGTTAGCTCATTAGTAGTGTTTCAAAATAGTTACTGTTATTCCGTATCTATCAGTAAAACTAAGAGAACTTTTATCCAAGGTAGCGTTATTCGACCATGTGCATTTATATTTGCATAAAGTGAAGGCAGGAGAGAGAGCTATGCCTTTCCAACAACGTTAGTCAATCAGTTAGTCAAATTGACAAATTTGTCGTTTGTGAAATTTGTGTTTTTACTCTACCGACTTTCTCAAGTGCTTTGGTAGCTTGTTACTCTCCAGCTGATGTGTTTACTACTCAACAGTGTGTGTAATGTGCTTATAAAGTTTTGTTCACATGATGTTTTCAGTGTATTTGAAATTTTAATTTGTATTGCACGTATTGCACTTGGCCTCTTCCTACTATATGTACTACCGTACTTATGATATATAAACACAAAACATACATATGTGTATGTGCATCATTCTATCTTTGTACAGCTATCCTATATTTATATATATATATATATATATATACTCATAGAGAGAGAGAGG